ATACATATTTATTTATTTATTTATTGTATTTGTAATATTAGATAATTTAAATATTTTTATTAATTATGCAGCCATTAATATCAAGAAATAGTAAAGCATAATATTGATAATTATATCGATTTTTTTCAAGTTTTATTTTTTTAGTGTCAGCAAGATAGATGTTGTGTAACTACTTCTTTAATAGATCGATTTAAACTAATGTGAAAGTAGCATTCTGGGATCAATAACATAGTGTTATTATTACAGCATTTACATAGTTCTACATGATACTACTAGTCAATGAGTATAATATTGATCGATTCCTGTAGGTTGGTCGATGTACTAATTCGTTGTGCTGATGTTACACGTGTATCCTTTCTCATGTATTATTATCAATGTTTTCTACATCGGTTTTTGCGGATGTAGAACGCATGTGATCAAGCGCAAGTTCGCACTGCTGGGATTTTCCAGCATTACTATTCAATTTATATTCGTATACACGTTTTCTATTAAGCTATTAACGTTAATCCTTCTATCATTTTTTATCTCGTGATCAGTTGCTGTACTAAACGCATGGTGCTAATATAAAGAAACAATGTTTTGTGTATTATTTTTTCCATTTGTTCATTACACTTTTCAACGTTGGCTGCATAAACGATTAAAAATGACGCTCAATACGTCCTTCACGAGTGCAACAGTAACGTATCACATAGGAGTGCTTACGCAATTACAAGAAAAAGAAACGAAAGGACCTTTCATGGTTCACTGGCACACACGCATTGGTATTCTTATTTCATTCCCAACAGAAATCGCTCCATTCTATATACAATCACAGTCGCTTGGTGGAACAAACTGATTATGCATCGCTGACACAAATGCGCTCTATCGTCTCACTTCTTCATCTCTGTTTACGAAAGACACATCAATACTAGTGATAATATATGAATATGTAAATTGCGATGAGTGCTGTTGCTGCATAAATGCGAGAACGAGACTCTATGATATACATAGAGATCTACCGTGTCAAAACAGGCACGTATCTAGATTGTACGTATAAATACAAGAAATTAATTTCACCCGCAAGAAAACCGAAATCAT